CTCACCTTTCTACAGTGTCTCCCACGACAGGGACCACAGTCCCTCCCCGAATCACATCATCCATAACTCCCACCAACGTAGCTCCCTCTCCCACACCCACCACCTCTACCCCAGTGACCAGCAACACCGGGACAGCACCCACGAGTGTGCTTGTGTCTTCTCCACTGGTACCAACCACCGGACCAGTCTCCACTTTGACCACCATCACTACTCCTCCGTCCACCCTGATTACCACACTGTCTACAACCCACGCCACGTCCAACACTGCATCTCCTACTAGCAGTGTTACCGCAGCCACAACTGGAAGCACCGCTCCCACTGACACTTCAAGCCCTGCCACCTTGATCACAACCACTGCCCCTACTACCTCAGCTTCGGACACTGCCACGACTGCTGCCACAAACACGGTGACGACGCTCATGCTTACAACCCTCCACACTACTTCAGTGGGCACTTCTTCAAACATCCACTCCACAGGAAGCACAACCACATCTGCAGTAACGCCAGCCCCCCCTACCTCTGATACCACACAGCCATCCACAATCACCACCCCGTCTTCCGTTAGTACCGGTATCCCAACCACAACACCGATGACCATCACCCTCACTTCCGTGGATACCAGTGGTTCCTTGACTACCACGACCGACCTCACCTCCACCCTCACTGAACCCAGCATGTCGGCATCCCCCATTTCTACCGTCCCTTCATCCCCCACTATCCAATATACAGCAACATCCTCCAGTGTCTCCACCACCTCTGCCACGACGCCTACGACGACACCTACGTTCACAAGTTCCCATCGCACCGCACCTCCCTCCACCTCAACAGGTGTTCCAGGTACATCCGCAGGCCCCTCTTCCACCTCTGCCAGCAGTGCCAGGACCACTGAGCCAGACAGCAGCACCTCATCTGCAACGGGCACAAATACACTGCGCACAAGCGCAGAGTCCTCCCCGGTACCCACTACCACCCATACATCCACGATGTCCACAACCAAGGGACCTCCCTCCTCCGTGGAAGCCACGACACAAACAGGCAAGACGACTGACACAACCTCTCCTGCCACATCCACCGGGAAAACCACACTTATCCCTACTTCTCACCTTTCTACATTGTCTCCCATGACTGGGAACACAGTCCCTCCCCGAATCACATCATCCATAACTCCCACCAACGTAGCTCCCTCTCCCACACCCACCACCTCTACCCCAGTGACCAGCAACACCGGGACATCATCCACAAGTGTGCTTGTGTCTTCTTCACTGGCCCCAACCACCGGACCAGTCTCCACTTTGACCACCATCAGTAGCCCTCCGTCCACCCTGATTACCACACTGCCTACAACCCACGCCACGTCCAACACCGCATCTCCTACTAGCAGTGTCACGGCGGCCACCACTGGAAGCACCACTCCCACTGACAGTTCAAGCCTTCCCCTCTCCATCACAGCCACTTCCCCCAGTGCCTCAAGTCTAGACATAAGCAACACCACTACCACAAGCCGGGTAACAACAGCCACGTGGACCACACCAGTGACTTCTTCAAGTGTTCCTCCCCTAGCATACTTCTCTAAATTTTATACACGTACAAATGCCATAATTACCTCCTTTAGCACTATTGTCCTTTCTTCTCCATCCACAATAGTTGCATCCTCTACTCTATTCTCCCACACTGTACGTTCAATGCTCACCACTAGCTCTCTTCCTCCATCCCCTCCTATCTCCATTATGGAACATCCAGTGCCTTCTTCCTTCACTGGTTCTTCTACTCCCTCTTTATCTGCTACTACAAGATTTTCTACATCCCAGTCTCCTGCAATCCTTATTCCTACTGAAACGACCATCACCCCCATTTTTTTTGCTTCTTCCACTACCCCTTGTGCCGAATCTATATCGGTTACAATAGTGCCTGCTTCTTCCACCACTCCATGTGTGGAAATGGGTCCAAGTAGTGAAGTTACTTTTATGCCCACCATCTCATTATCAGTCATTCCCTCTAGCACTGAGATGGTCACCTTTCCTCATTCCACCAGTATGACAACTGTCCTTCCTACACATATGAACACTTCTACTTCAGTTCTGGAACCTGACCCCACCAATATCATAACTGATGCTCCTAGTACTATCAGCTCTGAGACCGTCCCCATTAACACAGTTTTGAGAAGCACACAAAGACCCACTAGTGGGTCTTGGATGAGCACCAGCTCTGTAACCACCCCACATATGCCTGGCTTCACTAGCCTCTCACTGACTACGAAACCAAGCAGCAGCGTTCCAACTGCTGTGATGACTTCAAGCAAGTTGACTGGCTCCACCCCACCCCCCAGCCAGACTCCAAGAACAGAGGCAACCACCCCGCAGACTCCCACCACCCTTACATCACCAAGGACAACTTCAACCACTACTCAGATGACCACAACTTCGACCACTACTCAGGTGACCACCCCTCAGACTCCCAGCACCCTTACAACACCGAGGACAACTTCAACCACTACGCAGATGACCACAACTTCGACCACTACTCAGGTGGCCACCCCTCAGAATCCCACCACCCGTACGTCACCAAGGACAACTTCTACCAGTGCTCAGATGACCGCCACCCCAGGTTGGACCTCCTACCTCCTCGTTCCCTCTCCTCCCTCCCCTGCTAAATTCTTGTGTTACCAAGGTCAGGCCCTGTCCTGAACTTCCCTTTCTTCCTGTGCTGCCTAGGCACCTGTGAGAATAATGGCATCTGGATGCAGGACCACTGCAGCTGCCCCTTGGGGTTCTCTGGAGACCGCTGTGAGCGCACAGATATCACATGCTGGCACGGGGGTAAATGGGATGGCCTCAAGTGTGTCTGCCCTAGCACCTTCTATGGCTCCTACTGTGAGTTCGCCGTGGAACAGATTGATGTGGGTGAGTTGCCAGGGCCCTGCCCTCTGCACTTTCTCCTGGATGTCACTGACTCTCTTTGGGCCCAGCCCTGTGGTCAGCCTGGAGGTGCCCATGCTGTTTTGCCCAATTCCTCCATTCCTGCCTTCTCTCCCAGGTCCTCTGCTATCCCATATCACGCCTCCTCTCCCCCCTCACCTTTAGGCGTGGCTGGGACCATGCTGGTCTGGGCTGCTTGGAGCTGTATTAGTTTTTAATTGCTGCTGTAACAAATTACCACAAACTTAGCAACTGTAACAACACAAATTTATCATCTTACAATTCTGTAGGTTAGAGGTCTGACATGGGTCTTGCTGGGCTAAAATCAAGGTGTTGGCAGGGCTGTGCTCCTTTCCAGAGCCTCTAGAAGAGAATCCATTTTTTTGTCCTTTCCAGGTTCTGGCACCTCCCACATTCCTTGTCTCAAGTCCCCCTCTCTCCATCTTCAAAGCTAGCAGCATTGCACCTCTGTGCCTTTCTCCCCTAGTGACATCTTCTGACTGATTCTGACTCTTCTGCCTCCCTTTTCCACCACTAAGGATGCCTGTGACTATATGGGGCCCACCTGGGTAGTCCACATTAATTTTCCCATATTAAAGTCAGCTGATTAGCGATCTTAATTCCATCTGAACCTTGATTCCTCCTTGCATGTCGTATAACATATTCACAGGTTCTGGGGAGTAGGACCTAGGTATCGGTGGGGGCCATTATTTGCCTCCCACTGGAGCAGACAAGGAGAGACCACAGGCCTGACTGCTGTGCATCCTGACTTCCATTCTTTCCCTCATCTCAGGACACCTCATGCCAGAATTCCTACCTTTCTCTCTCCTGCTCTTCAGTCAGTCCTCTGGGAACATGGAGAGGGTCCATGGGAGGAGGCTGTGTGTTGGGGTGGAGGTGGTGATGTCAGACAAGAGGGGATGGTGAAGTGACCAGAGTAGGGCATGCTGTGTGCAGAAACTGTGGACGCTGAAGTAGGTATGCAGGTGTCTGTCGACCAGGACTTCTCCCCGGAGCTCAGTGACAACACTTCCGAGGCCTACAAGGATTTCAGCGACACCTTCCAGGATCAGGTGAGGGGCAGGGGAGGGAACTCACAGGTCCTCTCCTGGGTGCCCTCAGGTGTGGAGGTTCAGACGTGAGCCTAGTAATTTTTGGCATTTCAGATGCGGAAGATTTACCAAAACGTGCAGGGGTTCAAGGATGTGGAGATCCTGTCTCTGAGGTAGGAGACCCTTCTGAGGCTGTGGAGGCAGAGTTAGGTGGGGGAGGGAGGTGAAAAGAAAGGCTGGAGAAGCCATCCCTTGCTTTTGGAATCATCAGATTTCATAGAGGGGTGAGGGAGTATGCGGATTTTAGCAATCAATTTCTGGAGCCATTTCTCTGGAGAAGGCTGCCACTCCTCCTCTTTAGGCACGTTGGCAGGAGAGAGATTGCATGGAACATGCAGGGAAGTGGTGCATGAGGGCTGGTGGGAAGCCTAGTGTCTGGACTGTAGCTGGTCTCTTTCTGGCTGGCACCTGGTCTGCTGAGTGGGTCAGCATGAGCGAGGCAGAGAGCCCAGGAGGGCCTGGTTTGGTAACGGCTTGATGCAATGCAAGAGAATGTCAATCATTCCTTGTCCCACCTTCCCAGGCTGACAACGTCAGGGATGCTGGCAGCCCCTTCTGAAAATAATGTGCCTGGAATCCCCACTCATTGCCTTTGCCCCCTTCCCCTCCACACCTGTGCACCTGTGGTTGGTCCTGGAGGTGCCCTTCTAAGAACATATGTGCCCCAGGCCTGGGAACCCTTTAAGGCCCCCTAACCCCTCGACCCCTACAGGAATGGCAGCATCGTGGTAGACTATCTGGTCCTGCTGGAGTTGCCCTTCAGCCTCCAGCTGGAGGCCGACTATGAGAAGGTGAAGACGATCCTGAAAGACGAGCTCCAGAATGTCACCCAGGACGGGGACAGCTGCCAGAATAACCAGAGTGAGCCGAGGCTGGGGCCTTGGGCTGGAGGGAGGGGTCAGGGTCACAGCCAACATCCCAGCCTGCTCCAGCTCAGACAGGGGCCTCCTGGGCTCAGGTACCAGCCCTGTGTTACCTCTGGCAGGTTGGGAGAAGGGGCACAGGTCCACAGCCAACTGGGTCAGGGATGGGGCTAAGGAGGGGCTCGCCAGGACCTGGGTGCTGGGGAACAGGCCCCTGACAGTTCTGCTCAAGGTTTCCAGGATGGCTGAGGACCTCTGATTATTTGGGGGAGATGAGACAGGCCAAAGGAGCCTTCCCTTGTGGCCTGTCCACAATGCCCCCATACTGACAGAGCCTTCTCTGCCCCTTCCCATGCCTGCCCTGCTTCCCTGGCCCCGACCTCTTGACCCACCCCAATTCCCCCTGTGCCTGCGTCCCCGCAGCCCTCTGTTTTAAGCCTGACTCCATCAAGGTGAACAATGACACCAGGACGGAGCTGACGCCGGAAGGTAAGGGGGGGACAAAGGGCTGAGTGGCCCCAGGAGGCCATGACCCCTCTCACCAGGGACATCTGCCCACTGAAATTCTCTGCGGAGGAGGGGGAGACCTTTTGGGAGGCAAGTGATGTGGCCCTTCCTAGCCCTTGTTAACAGCTTCCACCTGAGGACTAGCAGGCACGGTGAGGAGAGGGTGAGATCCTGGGGGCCTGCCCTCCTCCCCCTTCTAATCCCACAGTCTACCCCACCCCAGGACACCCCACCCTCCCAAATGTGGTCCTCCCACCCATTTTCAGAGTCACTGTAACCAGGCTCCTGAGTAGTGTCTCTCTGCAATCCCCTCCCCTCCCCCCAGCCATCTGTCGTCGCGCTGCAGCCGAGGACTATGGGGATTTCTACTTCCCCTTGCTGGAGGAGAACCAGCTCCGCTGTGTCACCAACTGCACGCCAGGCGTGGAAGGCGCCATAGACTGTAATGACGGCCAGTGCACTCTGCAGAAGAGCGGTCCCGTGTGCCGGTGAGGCCCAGCCCACACGCCCTGCGGTGGAGCCCCGCCCACCTGCCAGCACTGGGTGGGTCCAGGTGGGCTGGTTGACCCGGCTGGGGAGGTGGTGAGGATCTGTGACCTGTGACCCCCTTCCCCAGCTGCTTCTCCACGGACACGCACTGGTTCTTAGGCCCCCACTGCGAGGTGGCTATCCGCTGGAGGGCGCTGGTGGGGGGCCTGGCGGGGGCCGGGGCGCTGCTGCTGCTGCTGCTGCTGCTGGCGCTGAGCGTCTTCGTCACGCGCTGGCGGAGAAGGGGCGGCCAAGGCGGAGGCCGGTGAGCGCCCTGGGGGTGGGAGTGAGGGCGGCACAGGGGTCCCAGACGGGGAGGCCCTGCCCTGACCGCGCGGTGCCCCGACCCAGGTCCTGGGACGACGACGGGAAATGGTTCGAGATGTGGGATGAGGACACGGCGGGGACTTTTTCAAACTTGGGCTTTGAGGACGACCGAATGTGTGAGTCCTGCCTCCTGGGGAAGGGGGGCAGGGGCTTCCCGGGGCACCACTGCAGCCTGGGCAGGACCGGAGGACCTCCCTTGCCGGGGACAGACACATACCTAGTGGCAGGGAGCTTGTGTCTCCTCCTCCCCACCCCCCACCCCGGCGCCCCTCCTGGGGAAGGCCAGATTCTGCACAGGCCATCCCCGCAGGGCACAGGGAACGCAGGGACACAGGAGCCCCTGAGGCCCTGCCTTCCTCATGTTTCCTTCCCTCTCCCTTTCCCTCTCCCCTCCTCTTTTCTCTCTGCCTAGTCAAGCATGAAAACTTCCAGGTGGCCTTGGGGAACGTGGATACCAATGTGAAGGTGAGAGGGTGAAGGGGGGATGGTAAGGAGCTCTCCCAGGCCCAGCTCCAGGTGCCCCACCCACCACCAGGGCAGGGGCTGGGCTAGCACCAGGGGCCAGTGACCTCCCAGTCAACCGGAGTAGGGTGGCTCCTGTTCTCACTGCCTCTCACGCACTGTGGCAGGTGCACGCCCAGAGGCCCGAAGTGGACTTGTCCTCGATGTGAGCCCTGCCCTACCCCCGCCACCCTGCCCCGGACAGCGGGAAGGAACTGTCTGCACTGCTTCCATTTCAAGAGAGGGCCAAGAACTTGTGCAGCTCAGTCTCCTGGTTTCCTTGGGCAAAACCAGACCGTCCCCTGACCGTCATCCTTCTTTCAACTTGGGTGAAACCCACCTGGAGACCTAGTTGAAATCCGGGCTCTTCCACTGGGGGACCTCGGGCAAGTCAGTAGCTTCTCCGAAGTTGTACAATGAGAATAGCATACTTGTCCTGATACCTCGTACGGCTGTTATGAAAACCAGATGTGCTCGCTCAGATCTCTGTCCCAAAGCACCTTCCTGTGTCAGCCCTCAAGCTTATATGGCCTCTCTCAGATCCCCAATCCCCATGTCCTTGGCCCCTCTCAGGCCTCAGTCTCTATTTTCCTGTGTGTGTCTCTACTGCCTCTCCCCAACCCCCGCCTCCCCCTACCCCGCACCTGTACCAGCCTGCAGCCCATCCCAGCTTCCTACCCTCTCCTAACAAAACTCCCTGTGGCACCCCTTTCCCCATTCCTTACCCCTTCTCTTTGAACCCACTTCTTAAATCGCTCCTCCCCACACCTAGCACCCAGGCCTACATCTCCTCCCGTTTCTGTTTTCTCCCCTTCCCCATCCTTGTACCCTCCACCCTAAATCCTTACCTCTATCCCAGTGCCCCAGTCTTAAATCATCTCCCCCCTCCCCACTGTCCCTAGCTAGGTACAGTTGCCCTTGGCAACTTAGGACCCCCAGCTGGTGCTCCCCAGGCCCTAGTCCTCCCTTATGAGGCTCCATCCCTTCCTCTCGCCCCCAAGGGCCCTGGATCCCTGTGGGTGGGGGTGGAATGTGGGTGGGGGTGGGATGTGGGTTTCCCCAGGTCCTCAAGGATGAGGGGAAGTGGGGCCCTGAGGCGAGGAAGCTCCCTCGGCCCCCTCCTCCTCATTCCCTAACTCCCTCCCCTCCCTTACTGCCTCACCCCCCCCTTCCCACCCCCTACCCAGCTCCTCCTCTGCCTTCCTCTCTCTGGTCTCACCCCACCCCCGCAGTAACCTCTCAGCCCAGAAGCCCTCAGCCTCCTTTGCAGGAGGGTCTTATTTGGGGACAGGAAGTCTGCGAGTCTCCAATTCTCCCATGTGAACACAATATAGCATTTATTGTAAAAGAAGCGGCTCTGTGTCTTTCTCCTTCTCCCTCCCTGGTGTCTCCACTTGGTTGGAGAACGGGGGCATCCGGGGAAGATGTTGTAGGGGGGCCTGGGAGGGTCAGTTTCTCCTAGCGAGGAAAGAAGTGGTCTGTGGGCAGCTCTCAGGGGCCATAACTGTCTTCGTAGGGAACATAGAGATTGGGGGGCCCATTTTCTTAGGGGTGGGTGGGGGCAGGGGAGCCTCTTGATCAGCAGCAGGTGGGGCCCTCTTAGGTTTGTCATCCGTGCCCTTTCCCTTTGACGTCAGGAGCTCAGGGCAGGGTCAGGGAGGTGGGTGGCCCAGGTTAGGTCAGCTGCCATTTGCGCTGATGGGTAAGCTGGGTTTCCCCAAGACCTTGACCTCCCCAGGCCCGGGTGGCAGACACACACTCACACCAGGGCCGGTATGCCCAGGCTTTGGGCTCTCCTGTTCCCGCTGTTGTGGGCAGCCAGGCCTGCCGTACTGGAGCTGAGGAGGGTTGGGGCTGACAGAGTGAGGTTCTTTGGATGGGAGTTTGGGAAAGGTCCCTGGGACCTTTGCCCAGGGCAGGAGAGGGACTGGCAGTGGCTGGGGGTAGAGACCAGGACCATAAAGCCTCAGATGTGAGCCCCACACAGGAGAAGGGCTGGTGGTCGGAGGCCCGGGGCAAGGGGCTGGAAATTTGGCATGGGCCAGCTTGAGGTGGATGACGGGGAAGGCAGTGTGGAAGAAAGAGGGGCCTCTCGGGGGTGGGGGTGGAGGGTCCTTCACTGGGCCTGGCCTGTGGCTGGCTGCTCTTTCCAGGGCTCTTTCACCCCTCCCTCCATCATCATCCTCTCCCTGCTATTTCTTGGCCCCGGCTTCTTGGTAATCGTCACACACTCACACCTCTGGTCTCCTGTCCCTCCCTCTTGCCCGGCCCCACCCATGGCTCTGGCTTCCGCTGGAGTGACCCTGGCTCAGGGCAGTCAGCTCTCCAGGAGTTAGAGGGGAGGAAGGTTGACAGGCTGCCCTTTGACTAACTCCCTGTGGTCATCATGTGCCACCCACCCAGCCGCATCACCGCATCCCCACCCTGGGCCAGGCGCTGTCCTTCCCCAAGGCAAAGGTCTCCAGAGTCCTTTTTATAGCTGATCCCTCCCTGGGAGGCGCTCATTTCTTGGTCCCTCCTGATGAGGGAAGACCCTGCAGCCAGGGCCCCGCTCTCTGAGAGATGCTGGTGATCCGGATCCTGCCGCTGGCTTTCTGGCTCTGGGTGCCTGCCACAGCGACGACAACGACAGGTGAGTGAGACCTGGCTCCGCAGTCCTGTGTGTGCCGGCCTCAGGCAGGGCTGCAGGTGGCTGGCCTCTGTCATTTTCTCCCTCCCTCACTTTGCAGAGGAGGGGGCTGCCGAAGGGCTGGACACCCAGGCCATGACCCCTGCCTTTGGGGGTGCTAAAGGGGTCACCCTGGACCTGCAGGTGCAGAGGAAGGGGCATGGCCTATGATTGTGCAGCTGGCGGCCTATACTGAGCCCCTGCCTGAGGGCCGAGTGGGGGCTGGAATTTACCCCCTCTTCTTTCCAGGACTCCCCCGGGATGAAGGGGAACTTTTTCTTCACCTGGATGGTGCTCTCTGCCTGCCCTCATCCTGCCGGCTGCATCTGCCTGGAGGGCTGGGTCTTTCCACACCTCATAGAGATACTGTCCAGGCTGCCGCCCTGGCTGGGAAGGGAAGGAGTCCAGGGGCGTCCGGCAGCTTCCCCACTTGCTTGGGGGAAAGCCTGCCTAGTTAGAAGTGGCTGAGGGCTGACGGGGAGACACAGGCTCGGGGCTCCTTGTTAAACTTTGTCACAGTCGTTTGTCTGGGCAGCGACTGGTTACAATACAGAACAGACTTTTGGATCCTCTCCCCTAAGACAGGGAAGAGCCCCAGGGAAGGAGAGGGCAGGGTGGACGCTGGGGCGAGGGCGTGGGGGAGCGAGCCCCAGGCCCCAGGTGGAAGAGGGAGCTCCCAGTTGAAGGAGCTGCAGGCGTGCAGGGAGGCGTGGCGGGTGGGTAGGGGGCGCGGGGGTGGGTAGGGGATTCCCCTGGGGTGGGGGGGGACCGACACGTCAGCCCCCGCATCCGCGTGGACGGGGGGGGGCGCGGGGGTGGGGGCGGGGGTGTCTGGCACTCTGCGGGGTGGGCCGAGAGATAACCCGTGAGGGAACGTAGGTCCTTAGAGGCCCCCTCAGCCCACCATGCCCTGACGCCTCCTTCCCCCATCCAGGCATTTTGGGGGCACAGCAGTGCAGGCTGGAGTTGCTGAGGGGAGAGGATCAGGGCTGGGGATATGACGCGCGGCTTTAGGGACATTATGAAAGTTCCTTAGTTACAGATCTATTAGCTTTCAGGTAATATAGCTGAATACAGATAATACAGATCTATTAGATTTCAGGGGTCAACCTTCTGAGGGGTCCTCCCTGTCCCCGCTCCCCAGGCAGCCTCTCTTGGCCAGGTTATCTGAGGAGAGGGGTGGTGGTGGTGATAATGACGATGAGGAAGGACCCAACAGTCAGCAAGACTCTGTGCGCCCCACCACGCGTTAGAGACAGCCACCCACACCAGCAAAGACCCCTGTTCCTAAAGCGCTTATAACTGCACGAAGAGATAATGTTGCCACAGGCGAACCCATTAGCATGCAAGAGTCAAAAAGCATCTCTCTGTGATAAGTGCAGAGAGCCGTCAGGAGGGGGAGGCCAGGGCCATTCCGGGGGACTCCAGCAGCTCTGCGATACCCAGAGGCCGCCTGCCCCCTACTCTCAGAGGGCTCTGTTGTGTACAAAGCCATTTCACAGCAGGTAGCCCATATGACTCTCATAAGGAAGATTGTGTAAGGAAGTGAAGGCAGACAGGAAACGGAGGCTCAAGAGGATGAGTGACCTACCTGGTCAAATAATTAACATGACCTCACCCATTTGACACTAGGTTTGTGGCACCCCTGTACCAGAGGACCTCAGCCCTCTGCAACACCGCCACCCCCTGCATGTATTCTGGGTCCTCAGGGAGGGGTTTGGGTGTCAGGTCAGAGACCACCAGTGGTATCTGTGGTTTTCTTTGTTTCTAATCTGCACCCTCCTCTGCGTGGGTATTCCAGTTCACCTGGAGGACTGATGAAGTTTTGGACAAGCAACCTGTAAGGAGAAAAAATACCAGCCTGGGAAGGTAGAAAAACACACAGGGCTGTGCAGGGGACCCTAGGAGGAGGAATGCCCTGAAGGCAAGGGGGCATGTGCCCGGTGGGTGTGAGATTCGGTGGGGAAAGTGCAGTGGTGGGGGAGCATCTTTGGGCGACAAGAGCATTAGAGCCAAGCGGAGGCTTTTGGACACCAGAGGACCTCCGTGGGCTGAGCAGGGGTGGGTCACCCCTGCCAGGGAAGATCCCAAGAGGGTCATTGAGAGCCATCCTGGCATGAGGCCTTGATGGTCCAGCTGGGAACTCTGGAGACGGAGAGGAAGTTTCCACCTGGTGGTGGGCTGTGGGGGAGCGAGGTAAGCGGTCCTAGAGCCTGCATGACTAGGAGGACAAGAACCTCTTTGTGGTGGTTGACAATGGCCTTTAGGGGGGCCTGGTGAGTTTGGGGTGACCATGGAGCTTTGGGTGGAGCTGTCCTGGAGGCCTGGGGCTCAAGGGGAGGACGGGAATAGAGACACGGTCTAGAATTCTACATTCTCCAGGTGCTGCAGGGGCCACAAAGACCAGACAATGCCGGGGATCAGCATGAGGGTTGGAGCTGGCATCCTGTTTTGTGTACAGGAAGTTCCGAAGTGTGCATAGTAAGGGCGGGAGAGGGGAGCTCCACGCGTGCAGCGGGGACAGGGACCAAGTGTGTCCTGGAGGGGCTGGCGCAGGGCCTGACGTGGTGAGAACTCTGTGGCCTAGAGAGGTGGAGGTGGAAGTGGAGATGTTCAACACGTATAAAATCGTATAAAATCGGGAAGAGTGTGGTGAAGATTTGTTCACAATAGACAAAGGAGCAACCTTTGAAACTTGTGTGATGTAAATTTAGAGCAATTAAAAAGAAGTGCTGTTTTATGTGGAGAGTAATAAACTTACTCATTCAGCAAACACAGGAGGCTGGCTCTGCCTGGGCAGGTGCTGGGTGCTCTGGATGAGGCCGGATGAATAAGCCTGTTTACAGTCGAGTTTATTAGATGGGACATGGGAAAGGTGCAGAAAGAACCACAACCCAAGCTTGGCGCTGAGGCTCCGAGAGGGGCCCAGATTGATGCAGGGGGGCGGAGATGGCCTCAGAGGCTGCTTCTGCCTGGGCCGACGGGGAAGGCTGCAGGGAGAGGTGGTGTTCGAGTTTGGTGGCTATTGAGGAGTAGTACAGGGAAAAAGTATTAATAGACAAAAATAGGCAAATTCAGAACCGACAAAGCCATGCATAGCTATGGAGAGAATTGGAATATTGATAAAAAGTTTCCCTGGGTTATAGCAGATTGGGAAGCCACACTGACCCTGTCGTCTGGGTCCTATAGTAATAATCAAAATTGCTGATGATCATGGAGGGTCTACTATATGCTAGACACTGCTCTAAATGATATTATTATCTCATTTAACTTTCCCAGCAACCCTAGGGGGAAGTGGTGTTACTGATTTCTGTTTTATACTTGGGGAAACCGAGGCACGGAGATGTTGAATAGCTTGTTCCAGGTTTCCCATCCATCAAGTGGAGGATCCAGGATTTGAACCCCAGCTGCTGGCTCCAGAGCTCACATTCTTTACCACTTGCTCTAACTGGGGTTGCCCATGTGTGTTCGTTTCCTGCGGCCACTGCAATGAATGACCACAAACTTGGTGGCTTCAAAGAACAGAAATTCATTCTCTCACAGTGGTGGAGGCCAGAAGTCAGAAATAAGGTATCAGGCCCCAAAGGCTCTAGGGGAGGATCCTTCCTTGCCTCTTCCAGCTTATGGTGGCTTCTGGAGTTCCTTGGCTCTGGTGGCATCACTCCAATCTCTGCCTCTGTCTTCACATGGCCTTCTTCCCTGTGTGTTTCAAACCTCCCTCTCTTTTCTCTTATAAGGACCCCAGTATTTAGATTTAGGGCCCACCCTAAATCCAGGATGATCTGGTCTTGAGATCCTTAACTTAATTACATCTGCAAAGACCCTATTTCCAAATAAGGTCGCATTCACAGGTACCGGGGGTTAGGACTTGGGCATATCTTTTGGGGGAACACAACTCGATCCACTCTACTCTGCTTTGGTAGCAACCAGTGGCTCTCTCTTCAGGGAGGCAGTGGGCAGGGTGGCATTGCCTGCTGGTGCTAGAAAGCCAGGCAACCCATCCACTCGCCACAGGTGTGTGCAGGGGGGAGGGAAAAGAGCCAAAGTGGCCCCGGCCAGTTTCACCCCCTACCACAACTCTGCCAGGTGGGAATGACCTTATGGAAGAGGGGGCAGGCCCAAGCCACTGAGCTCGTGCATGGCAGAGCTGAAAGAGCACCCAGGACTGGTTGACCAAAGCGCATCCCACTGGTCCCCACACTGCTCTCTTGTAGAACATTCTAGAGTGAGCAGGGTGGTCACAGCAGGCATCATTCATCCCATTTTCTAGGGGGAAGTGGAAGTTCAGAGAGGTTAACTGCTCGAGATCACACAGCTGATCCTGGAGGCTCACCCGGGCCTCCACTCCACCCCCACTCTTCGGGGCTGCTCCTGTAGACCCCGCTGACTGAGTTCACCATGAGCAGACCTGTGTTGTGGAGGTGACAGGAGGGGACAGTCCCGTATTGCAGTGGTGGTCTTCAGCCTTGCCTGAGGGGCTTTTTAGGACTTTTCTCCAAGAATGCCACCAAGTGAAAGACTTGCTGCTTACTCAAATCATTATCTTTCTAAGAAAGATCTAAATACGTGTATTGAGGGCTGGCCCCGTGGCTTAGTGGTTGAGTGAGCGCGCTCCACTGCTGGCGACCCGGGTTTGGATCCCGGGCTCGCACCAACGCGCTGCTTCTCCGGCCATGCTGAGGCCGCGTCCCACATACAGCAACTAGAAGGATGTGCAACTATGACATACAACTATCTACTGGGGCTTTGGGGGAGAAAATAAATAAATAAAATCTTTAAAATAAATAAATAAATAAATAAATACGTGTATTGTGAAGAAGCGGTAAAAACTATAGTAGGGGAAGAAAGCACCAAATTTTACTTGTTTGGTAGGAGAGCTGGTGTCTTTGTTGGTTAGTGTGGCTGCGACACAGGCAAATAGATCATTTTTGTTAAGCGTTGTGACCGCTAGAGTGTGGGGAATCCCAGCTTGGGCACCATTACTGGTGAGTAATTTTCCCTGGGTTCTTCAAGGTATTGGACACACCTAACTTTATTTTTACAGAGTTCACATTTATTGTATTTTAAACATTATAACATGAATGCATTGTTGTAGAACATTTAGAAAACATAGACAAACAAAAGGAAAAAATCTTGGTTAATCT